TTCTTTCTGTATTTCTGTTCTTTCACTCCAGAAGGAGTACCTGAAAGTCTAGAGAGAATTTTATGGTGTGTGAGATATAATTTTCTTTTGACAAAAATGTAATGACTTGCAAAAAATAGCCCCCAGTGACTACTAAGAGGCAGTATGGGAAGAAGAGGAGCATTTACACCTCAACCTGTAGAAACTTAGAAAATAGTCACAAAATACAAAAAAGCCATTAATTTCAGGAAACATTTGGTTTCCCTGCTTAGTAAAAGAGAACATTGAAAAATCATTTTTTACAAAAGTTAAGGCTGTCCAGATCTTTGATGCAGAAAGTCTTCAGTCCCCAAAATATCATATTCTATTTTCACATTGAAAGTAAGTTTCTTTGCGACAGTTCTGACCTTATGTGAGACTGGAGGGGAGGGGGAAGCAGAGGCCTACTTAAATTACATCAAAATTACATTGGGGGGGCTGGTCTAAGGATCTCAGTGAAATTTCCCTTTGAAACTTTCAGGATGCAATCTTTATTCTATACCTTTCTACATTCAAACAATAAATTGGAGTTTTATTGAAATGGGTGTGTTATTAAGAAGTTTGCTGAGGCTATGAAAATATAGACATATAACTGCATTGTGCTCCTAATAAAAGACTTTTCTTTTTCCCTAGAAAATGCAGGAACGTTTTTCTGGTAGGACCAGAAGACAGCCTTAGGGAAGGCAAACTGGTCATAGGAGAAATCAAAGATCCCATCTTCCTCATCACTTCGAGTTGTTATATGATATATATCAGAAACTCTGTGTTGCAACTGCTGTGTTGTACCATTTAATGGGACAAAGGATACTTTTTTGGTTCTATCCTAATCAGTGGAATTTAATATACCTTGATTAAGAAACTGAGGAACATCCAAAAAATTGCCAATTTATGAAGTTTCTGAACCCTATGTCTTAAATGTGCTGAGAAGCTGTTGTTTCAATAACAAAAGTGCACGTTGCAAAAAAAATACAATGTGAAACTGCTCATTCTAGAGTGGTTTTTGTAGTAACCTAGCATTGCAGGAGATGAGACTATTTCTCAAATAAGGAAAGGGCCTATTAAGTGAGTTAAACTCTCCAGTGTGTCCAGTGATGAACAGAGACTACTGACCTTCCAGATTTTAAGTAAACAAACCAAAAATTCCTCAGTGCATATTCTGTCTATGTTCATCTGTGCTTTAAATTGACAGAGTTAATACTTAACTTAAAAAGGAAGACCTGATATAGTAGTTAGATTTTTGCCTTTATCACCATATTCCCTCCCTCCTTTTTTCCTACCCATGGGTTCACTGGTATTTAGTAAATGCTAATTTTCAAGAGTGTCTTTTAAAATCTGTAGGAAGTGAAGAGAAATAAGCTATTTTCATACTTGGGCTCAACGTTTTACTCCAGAGATGATATTGCATCTCTAGGGAACTCTATAGATACAATTTCCCACCTTTTACAAAAACTTGACCCTAACCAAAATAAAATATTCAACTTGCATACGTAGGAAAAAACACATTATCACCAGGGAGTAAAATGGAATAGGTGGAAATTTAAAGCACATACATGTCTATTAACATTTCAGAAAGGAATCACGAATTAATAGAATTTGAGTTTCCTAAAAGCTTTTTAATAATTTTAAGATTGTGCAGAAGGCTTAAGGAAACCTGTTTTGGGTTTAGCCAGAAGGGAATTCCTTAGTACCTCTTCATCAATATTAAGTGACATCACTGAACAGTGTCAAATAACTTTTTGAGGGAATTATTTTTTGCTTACACAAGGAAAATAATTATGGGTTAAAGAGGTACAAGGGAAAAAAATTCCCCTTAATTTGTCTTATTGCACAGAAAAAGAAAGAAAAAAAAACCCAAAGATACAGAAGTCTTCAAGATTTTTCAGGATATGTAGGGTTAAACTTTATCATTTTATCCATTAAAGAATCTTCAACTAAAGGCCATTGAAAATCTATTTAGAAACAAATGAAATATTGCTCCTTTCCCTTTTTCTACCCATTCTATTTAAAACGGAACTGATTATATGATTTTACAGGAAAGCCCACCTAATCATTAGCTCAAAAAAGATCATGGCTTTGCAGCTTCAGTACTGATTCTTGAGTCTGGTTATATAACCAGATACCCTGCATTTTTGAAGGGTGTGATACCATACATAATAAAGTTTTTACATAGAGATGCCAATAGCAGCAGGAAAGGCAGACTATTCACAATCACAACTCTGTTTACATTTTCATCATGAAGGTTAAGTACATGCTGCTGTAGGGAGATTACAGGTCTCATCCCATAAAAGCATTAGCTGAGCCTGAATCCCCCATCATGACAGGAAAATGAGGGGACATATTCAAATAGATATGCCATATTCAAACAAGCCTTCGTTTACTGTGGCCACAAATAATCTTAATAAAGACAACACATCTTACTTTAAAGACTATTCAATGATATGCTTTAATCATAAAAGTATATATATAGAGAATCCTAATTCATATAATTTGCTAATCACTATTCCCTAAAATGATAATAACTGGTGAATGAGAGTGTGGAATATCATTGATCTTTTCGCTCTTATGTGTGGTGTTGTGGTGAGAGGTGCAGATCATTTTCTTCATGAGTAAGTAGTTCACTTATGGAAGGGTAGGTCATTTCAGGGAATTATTCATCGAGGAAGATTGATTCTGTTTATCAAACAGCAAGCTCAAGGGTTCTATCTTCTACCATTCCACTGCCTAACCGTGCTTTTAAAAACTCAGTTTGACTACTTAATCTCCAAGTGAGTAAAAAAGATAAGCTATGGTAAACTTTTAGATTGTTTGTTTCTTTCCTAAATAAATCATTCAAATAATAGATTGTCCAAAACATTGAAATTATTTTCTCCTTCTATGTAAATAGGTTTATCTGCATGTCATTTTCTTTAATGTTTAAATGATGCTCAAACGACTGTGTACTGAGGAAAATGGAGCTGAAAGTAGTAGTGAGATTTATAGACATCAAAACCAGGTTTCTAGATAATAGAGCAGTTTTATGCATTTGCAGCAGCTTTGGCGAACCTGAGATTTTGAGATAATTCCATTCAAAACCAAGCCATGGATGGAATCATCTTAAAAACTAGAATTTAGTTCCTTAATTTTTCCCTTCTGTAACTTTTTTTGTTTACATATTGGCAATAAAACGACTCACTGTTTGCTCGTTAAAATGTAATTATTTGAGAAAAATTAACTTTGAAAAGTAAAAAGTGGCATTTTTCCCTTTCCAATTGGAACAAATATAATTTCAAGTCAAGAAATTAAAAAATAATAATAGATTTAACACTGAGCAAGCTAAATAGGTCAAATTTAATAGGTTCTGTAATAAAACTCTCTCAAGACTACCTTATTATTTTTCTCATCTACTTTCCACAGGAGTTAGACTTGAAGTAGTATATTATATTATATGTTTTTTGAAAATATATTCTACAGGAACATAGACAATTTTGTGAATGATTTGCAACAATGCTATGAACATTTGGGCAAATAACTTAAAGTTAAGATATCTCTTATTAAAATCAGTTAACATGTTATATCTTTATTTCATCACTATATTATTTTTTTTTTACTAGATTGCTTCCCTTTGGTTTTACTATACATGTGGCTATTTGCTTTGGGGTGGGGGGAGTGCCAAGAACGAATTTCAAGAACTATTCATTATGTTCTAGATAAAAAATATTCTTTGATGTTCTGGAATCTCCAGAAGTTTAAAAACAATGCTTTGAAAAGCTTACCTATGTGCCACTCAATCGGTATTTGTTAACATTGAGATGACAGGTCTTTCTTAATCTTTTACGATTTTTCACATTTTAAAGTTTTTTTTCTTTTAAGAGTGGATAAACTTTCATGTTGAAGTTACCTGAACACATTCTCTTTCTCATGGGGACAGAAAGAAAAGAGTACAGCTGCAAGGCTCTGTAATCAACCGGGCACGAGAGATGAACAGTTAATGTGTTACAGCACCATCTATGATGATGTGGGAGCGTCGTAGCAACCACTGTAGGTCAGAAAAACTGTTTTAGAAATATGGTCACTGCAGAGATACTTCTCAAAATGATCCCCTCAGATTAACATGATCAGGAAATATCCATGAAAAAAGAAACAATATAAAAATTTACATTTTTCTTTTTTGAAGAATAGAAACAAAGCTCATGGATTCGCCTAAGTTTGAAGATCAATCACTACTGATGCTTAAAACGATATTTGTTTCATGTCCTTAGAAATTTCAAAACGGTGCTTCTTATATAAAGGGTTCATCAGGTAAGCCATAGAAAGAGAGACAGGCTGATGAGCAGGTTATGGAATCAGTCCCTACATTTCAGCTGTGACAAGCTCTGGGTTCTTTCACATCAACTTCATTCCAGTTTTAACAGAAGGAAAGCCATAAATGCACAATACTGTAATCTGGAAGCTTATGTAAGGCAGCAAAAAGCATCACCCTAGATCGGACAGACTAAGTAAGGTTGACTTTTGGCTATACTAGCAACCGGCTAGAGCCAACAGCATTTTGCCACACAAGATATAAAAACAAAAATCCACCGCAAGGGAGGCAAGTGAGAAATCAGGGACGTGGTGGTGTGCGACTACATCACAGGACACACTACAAAATGAAACCCCCGGTGCCAATAGGTTCAACTGCAGTCAAGTGAATTAAGGCTACGATATCACTGGCAGATATGAAGAGTCCATTCCAATTGAGCAGTAAGGAATCGATTCACTCTTGAAGACACAAGGAAAGGTTTAGAGGAAAAGCAAGTTCTTGGAAAGAATGAAGCACACACATGCACGTTGTCTCTCAGGTGAGGAAAAGGAAAAAAAAATGAGAGAGATCAAAGCAATCCAACTGCAAGGCAAGGCAGGTGTTTGCTTCCAGTTCACAGTATTGCAGTTAGTGGTACAGTGAGGTCTACGTAAGTGGTGGAGAGTACAGAGGCTGCCCAGGAGAAAAGGGAAGAAAGAAGTGGTCACATGACAACACAGCACTGACAGCGCTTTTTCTTTTGGGTACCTGGGGCTGGCTCTGTGGCCAGGCTCTCTTCCTTCCCTTCTGGGGATGAGGGCTCTGTGGTGTCTGAGATCAGCCTCCCGGACACGAGCTCAGCCGCGTTCCCGTCAATAGTGGAGACGTCCGTCACTGTCTTCTCCCTCAAGGACTTCTCATCGTCTTCATCAATGAGGACCAATTCAGCCTTGATGGTTTCATCGTAACCTAGCACCTTTTTAGTCTCCTCTTCATCCTCGATATTTTGGTAGCCCATAAAAATCATGGTGACTGGCTGGTCCAAGTTTGCCTCTGGCCCTGCAGCGCTGGGGGCTTGGGTCTGCTGCCCTGGGTTCCCAGAAGAACGATCTTTCCTAGACTTATGTACCATTTCTAACTTGGCTTCCTTGCAGAGCATGTGTTCCTTGGGATGACTGAAGCTCCCATCTGCAATCACAGTCCTTTCTGACACGTGCCCTCCTCCTAAACATGATTGTCCAGCCTTCTGAATAAGCTCTTCTACATCCTTTGCGCTTAATTTGTGCACTCCATTTTCTACTATGGTGCCTCCAGAGTGCACCTCATACACTACTTTGGTACCATCATCATAGACTTTGACTCCTTTCTGATGGACCCCCTCTGGGCCAGTGGTAGATGTAGAGAGAATCTTGGTCTCTCCTGTTTGTTTGTCTTTCTCCACATTAATTTCCATGGCGTACACAGCTTGAATGAAAACAAGAGAAAGGAAGTGCATGTTACAACAAAAAAAGCCAGTGAATGGTTAATTGCCAAACAGACAAAAAAAAAAGGTTTGTGCCCTTTCTATTCTAACCGCCAAGCATCTTGAGTGTTAGAGTGAGGTGCACACTGTGAACAGAGGTGGTTATATCTGTATTTTAATACAACAGCCTAATGCACTGGCAAGACAGATACACATGGTACTCATACTTTTAAGGAATATCTGCTAAAATAAGACCACAAGAGACTTTAGATCTTGTGTAAAGAATTTCAGGGAGGCTGGCAACATGCAAATTAACCTTGATTGATGGTTTCCTAGGCTAAGAGACGATTTTGAAGCCCTTGGTTAAAACGTGTCCCAATTCGAAAAGCTTACATTTTTTAAAACTCTTTCATCAAGAGTCCTGTTTTTTCTACATTTCCTTTTACTGTTAATGAAGAATATGCAAAGGTTTTTCGCAGGTGGGACATGGCTATCCTCCATTGTACTATAAAATGGGATATTTGCAAAAGTTGAAAAGGTGTGAGATCATTTCTATCATGTGCTCTGTGAGTACTTCAGTCACTGAACTAGGTTTCTAAAACAAGAACTAGGAAAAGAACAAGACAGAAGTAGCATTGTCCTAGGACACTAGGATTTGAGAATGGTGATCACAGAAGGCCTCTTTCTTCTTCCATGCACAATGTGCCACATCTTTGTCATTCTGCCCCATCCTTTCCCATCTGTCGCCTTCTTTCTGTTCCACTGCCACTACTCAATGTGAGACACTCATTTCCTCTTTCCTAGATCGCTGGAAGAGCTTCCTACCTGGTCTTCCTGCCCCAGTCCCATCCCTTCCAATTCATCCCAAATCCTGCTACCAGTCTGGTGTCCTTCAGGACCAGCTCTTTCCTGGCCTACAGACTCTTGTGACACTTCATACTTTCAAGTCTGTCACCCCACAGGCTCCTGTGAAGCACACATTCTGGATGGGATTTCTGCCTCTGTGGGCACCAGGCCTATAGAGCTGATGGGCTCCACATCCACCCAGATGATCCATGAACAAATCGAACTCAGCACCTTCCAAATGGTCTCCATCTTCTTCTCTCAAAACTCTTCCACAGTCTTGGTGTTGAATAACACCAGCACCCTACCTAATCTCTCAAGCCGGAAGCCTCAGAATCACACCTGATTGGTCCTTTTTCCCTAATTTCTCACAGCCACACAATCACTGAGAGTAACTAACTCTACCTCGGATATACCCCACCCATCTCCTCACCACCATCTCTGTCCCCACGGCCTAACGCAGGCCCTCTTCTACTTTCTGCACAACAGCCTTGTTTCCAAGTTCACCTGACACTCCTCTCTCCTCACTCTAGTCCAGAGGACTGCACATTGATGCCTGTTTCTGTATGGCCAGAGGAGCTAATAACGGTTTTGAGAAAAAACAAAGAACAACAGAGACCATCTGTGGTCCACAAAATCTAAAATATTTACAATCTGGCCATTTCTAGGAAGTTTGCTGACCCCTGCCCCGCCTGTGCTCCATCCTGCCCAAAGAGTTACCTTATTCGTAAACCCTTTGTTGGTTCTCTGCGTCTATACAGGACAAACACCAAACTTCCTAGTTTGGCATGTAGTTCCCTTCAGAATCTGTCCACAACTTTCCTTTCTAGCTTTGTCTCAAGGCCCCTCTTGTTCTCCATGCACTGTGGTCATAACAAACTTCGCACTGTTCCCAGGACACTCAACTTCCTCCCACAACTGCTATCCTTCTGCCTAGATGCCTTTCATCCCTTCTCCACCTGCAGACTCCTAGAGACTTGGCCCACGTGTCTGCATATCATTTCCTTGAGTCCCTAACTCTTCCTGAATAAATACCACCTCCCTAATCTGTGTTAAGACGAACCAAACTACCTTTTCAACCATGTGTTCTTATTGCTACTTTTCCCTTTAGCACAACCAAGTATAACATTCTCCCAAACCTAAATATTTCCTGCTTTTGTTAAGATTCCTTTTTCCTGAAATGTCCTTCTTTTGAGTTTCTACACGTCCAAGTATGACTCATTCGTCAATGCCAAGGCCAAGTGCCCCTTCTTCCATAAGCTTTCTCTGATCCTCCCACCTCTAAGTCATCCCTGTCTTCTTAAGATCCTCTGAACACTTTTGCTAAACTTCTCTAAAGACACTTTACAATTTCTACTCAGTAGTATAATTATTTGTGGGAATGTATTATCAGCTTCATAGATTTTCAGGCTCCTTGAGGGTTAGTTTTTTGGCCAACATCTATCTATGACTCCCCCTCCCTGCCAGCACCTACCTTAGGGCCTTTTGCATAGTAGGTACCTGATGTAAATATCTGTGAAACAAATGCTAATAATGAAAAGTCTGATTCGGTTGTCTTAATTTAGTCACAAATAATTTGTATAATATGACACCAGTGAAAAAGTACATACAGTAATTAATGTTTGAACTGGTTTGAACAAACAGTAATGATATTGTTCCACCTGTTTGTGTAATAAAATACAGTCTGTTCATGGTTAACACTCAACTAAAAGGACTATGAAGCAAAATCCAATGTTTTATTTTCATCATATCCATTTGGAAAGTGTCACTTGTTCAGCATAAAGATCTTGAGTTTCCTCAAATGAGACAATGGGAGGCCAACCAATATTTGTCATAGAGGTACAGGGGCTCACACACAATGACTGTGATAGCAAACGAAATATTTATCTCAGTTATTTCCTGATTACTCACAAAATGTGCCATCAGAAAAACAGAATAGGCATTTAAAGTTTTAAGAAGAATAGGCATGTATTCCAAAAGACTGTTCTTGAAATGTTACACTTATATTAAAAAGCACAGTTTTGGGTTAAAATATTATATCCTATTACTATTAACACACTCATGGGACATACTTATAAATAAGGAAAGTAATAATGATTGTCAGTTTGTAGGTACAATATCTAATTATCCCCCAAAGATCCGATAATATGTGAACAAAATGACACATTGACCTGCAATCAATACAGAGTAGAAAATAAAATATTTCTATTTTTATATCTATATGTGGTAAGATACACATTATTAACATGGGAACGTTTAGAGATGTCTAGCTCCCTCTTCCCACCAATGAGAATGCCATCACTGTTGGTCCAGTTTTCCATTCTCCACCATCCTAACCCCAGCCTCATTTTGTCTTTGCCTGTTCCTAGAACCAAGACTGGACCAAGAAAGGAGGGATGATGATAAGTTCTTTGCTAGAAAGGTTAAGTAGATCCCCACCATAAAGAAATGAGAAAGAAGGAGTTTAGTGTGAGAGAGAGTAAAAACTGTGAGATATGGATAGAGAGGGAGCATTTCATGGTGGTAAACGATACTTTGGAGAGAATAATACGTGGATGAAAGAAAAGGGAAAATGAGAAGCACTGCTTGCTGAGTGGAGATATGATTTGGGTCCCTTTTAATATCCTTCAGGAGAGATAAATAACGTATAGGATATTTTTTTAACAGTGGTCTGTGATTTTAAGCTGTATTTCTTTAAACATGACATGGCTATGAGACTGAACCACATGTGACATGGTTTCATTACGGTTATACATTTATGTTTACATTTGCATGTTATACACGATTCTTTCAATATTTCTAGAATATGAGCACAGAACATTTTAAGCATTTTTAACACGTTTATAATGAAATAAACTTTGATATATTATGCCATAAAATGTAACATTCATATGTATTTTTTCACAGATGAAACATAAGGCTTCAAAGGAACCACAAATTTCTAGCAGGTTCCTTAAGGGTGTGATCCCACATTACTTTCTGCACCCACTCTCTTCTCTAGTAAGGGGCACACAGGTGAACACTGTGAGAAGCTCTGGTTTAAACCAAAGGCAATATTTAGTCTTTAGTGACACACATATGAGAATGTTGTTTAGGCATTCAGAAAACCACGCAGGAGGTTTGCCTTCATGTGTTCTTTATGAGTAACTTACAAGAACTATTTTCCTTCGTTTCTCAGCCAATAATACTCCAAACTGTGAACTAGGGTGGATATGAACCAATGGGGAATTAAGACTTACATTTTAAATTCAACATTTTGTTTTTGATGCACACCATTGTAACTCCTCTCCTTCCCCTGCTTCCAAGCAGTTTACAGCAAGGCCTCTCACTCCTAGGACGCCTTCATCTCTAACCACAAACATGACTCTCTAAATCGCCTTGTCTTCTCTCCAGCTTCGCACGCCAGAGGTTCACTGCCACCTGTGCAGTGATGAGGTCAGGAGGGCTTGGTGCTTTTGTTCACCTTATGAAAAAAATAATGAGCAGGAAGTGCTGTTGAGGGGAGGGGGCTTTCCGGGGTGCCCTGAAAGATCTTGAAAGAGTGCTGTGGACATAAAGAGCAATATTTGAAGAAAAGCTCTCTGATGGACCCAGGGAAGGAAGACAGAGATAGACAGTTCAGTGGAAGTGTCACGGATGGGCTAGCTGATATCTGGAAGCAGGTTTCTGTTAAATTACGTATTTAATTATTGATTTCCAAACATTCTATACTGATGGCAATAAGATTAGATTATATAAAGCATTTTTGCTGCTCCTGAATAACATGTGCATCTTATTAATAAGGAGCCGACATGGCTAGTTTCTTCAAAGGGATACAAATGAATGACTGCATGGATGCTGGGATTTGAGGCCTCTGTGTTTGGTTTCCTTGGTTCTTCCTCCCACCCCCAACTTCCACAGTTCTTTCATCAGCAGGAAAACCCCTCGAAGGAACAGAGACACTTCAGTGGGGGTTGACATTTCCTGTCTCTAGGATCTGACGACACCCAAGTGTGGAGGGGAGTGTGAGGCATGTAGGGAAGATGCCTACCTAAAAACCAAGGTGAGGGGTTCAGGGAGAGAAGCTTCCATGGCCCGGGGCTCTGCAGGGCCCAAGGAGATGGCTTTGAGGAGCAGAGAAGGCTTGGTTGCGGTTTCAACTTATTCCCCTGGCTCTATA